GGACACAATAGGACAATAGGGGCTAAGTGTCCAATACATTTCGACGCCGGTCCCATGCTGACCCGTCGCAATGCCCGCGCGAGGGCCTCAGCAAGGCGGTCTTCCTTCGGCAATTGGGCCTGGTGCTCGTGCTGCGGGTCCGACTGCGTTCCAGCCGACCGTTCAAGCCGGGTGGCGCCCCCTCGGAAGGGTTAGATGCACATGTGCTACAAGGCAGCGCTAAGGTGGCGTTGAGAAGTGGGTATGTTGCACTAGTGCTGTCGTGCGGGGGCATCGCTACCTGCCAGGAGCTGTTTAGCCGCGTTTGCTTCAACTGCTGGCTTTCGTCCCTCGCAACGTCGGCAAGGCCGTCCTTCATGGCCACTCCAGAGTGCGAGCAAACAGGCGACCGAGCGGCAGCAACCAAACCCATGGCAACACTACCAAAGCAAAAACAACAACAACAACAACAGCCGCAGCAACAAGTAAACCAACAGCAGCACCAACAACAACACTGACCTTACTTACACAAACAACAACAGCAACACTGACCTCAAAGAGCGTCTGGATGGTGAGCTCCTCGAAACACTTGGGGTAATCCGGCGATATCTTCCCCCTTAGCGTGCTCACCGAACCCAGGTGCTGGAACACGTTGAACCGAAACGCCATGTGTTGCCTGTTGCCCTTGAACTCCGCACTACAAGAGGGGGGGAAGGCAGGCCACCGACAGAAGATTGAAACGCGCAGCCCGAAGAAATGAAACGCGTGTTGTTTGCGGCATGGAACTCAAAAGGAGAGCTGCGAATGCGGACGCCTTCTCCCCCACACGTCCATCAACTGCTGCAGGTTGAGGGGTACGTTGACCCCTAACACCAAAGCAACCTTGAAAGGGGGAGAAGCATCCCGAAACGGTGAGGGCATCGAAGTGGCTGCGGTGTCTCATTCCACCGGGAGCTACGAACAGCGCTATTTTTGTCATTCACGAACTGTGCAGATATGTGTCAAGCTACTGACGCAAGCAACGTAGGGCTACAACTGTCCCCCCTCCGTTAACACGCCTCCCTCGATGGAACGGCGCTTCGTTCAAGAGTTTTTCGACGGCGTTACGACACTCTTCGGGAAAGTCTTATACGGCCAGACCGATCCCCTTGCAGGAAGGAGCCACTGCATCACCTCCAACAAACGAAACGTGTGTTTTCTGTCCGAAAATAAATATTTCCACGTTCTTTGCGGCAATTCCACATTTTTTTTCCTGTCCCACAAGAAATATAGTTCCACAACTATACTGCAATTGAACGGTGCCCGACCCAAGAAACAGAATCTAAGTTTTCGAGAGTACGGACGTGGACGGGGTAACACGTACAGCATGTACGCCGTGCAGCAGATGTGGGCGTAATTGCAGCAAAAAAATAAGGTTCGAAAGCCTGAAAGGGGCCACAAGACCAGTGGCCCACGCAAATGGTGCTTTGTTCTTTACCTGGCTGGAGTTTCTCCGGCGAACCACTCCACCTAGAGATGATGAGACGGGGCGATTGTAATGCGGGGGGGGGGATACGGGGGCGCAGTGGGGGTTACTAGATCATCCATTGTTTTGCGGCCATGGTGATGGGAAGGGATAAATACGAAATCGTCGATACTACAATTTGCTCCAACGGATATCGGGTATCCTACTTCCATCCCCCCAACACACCCAACGACAACGACAACAACAACAACAACAGCAGCAGCAACAACAACAACAGTGAAAACACAACAAACGGCGACCACTCCGACCACGCCAACAACACAAGTATCTTCAACAACAACCAACAGCGAAACCACAACAAATGATGACACAGCAAATCCCCTCCTCCCATCCTGTGTCGCACTCCCTTACCACGAGGTGGTCAGGCGGTCGGCGCTTCTGGTGCATCTCCAGGTAGCTGGCGAAAGTCAGCACGTCCTTATCCTGGATCAAGATGCCGTTCATGCCGAAGGAGGCGCGGATCGCGATCCAGTCGGGGTGGTAGCTGCCACGCAAGAAGGGACGGTTTAGGGGGGTTCGCGCACAGCGTCGAGTTAGATGTGCGAGTGAACAACAACATTGTTACTCTACCTGCCAAGTTGTTATCCCACCCACTCCACCTTTCCTCTCCGCGAATTGGGTACAGTAGCAACTGCAACTGGGGAAAATACTAGTACCACGTGGGGGGCGAAATATAGGCGTAGAAATCAAAGCTGTTGCGGAGTATTGTTCTACGATGCGCTGGTGGAAGGGGGTTACCCCTCTTTCTCTCTCTCTCTCTCTCTCTCTCTCTCTCCGTCTCTCTCTCTCCATCTCACCTGTGAGCCTTGCTGACCATGCGACCGATCGCCGCCGCCCCACCTGGACACAGCAGCATGTCGTCCTCCATGAAGAGGTAGTGGTCGGCAAGACCTGCCGCCGCCCTTAGGAGGTACACAAGGTCCCGCGTTTGTTCTCGGACCTGAAAAAAGTATTGCGTGAGGTAAAGGCTTGTTGCTGTTGCTGTTGTTGCTGTTATTGTGGCCTGTGTTCTGGTCCAGACCCAAGAAAAAAAGAAATAATATTTCAAAAAATTATTCATCCTAGACCCTAATCTTACGGATAGAGATGGACTTAATGTGCAAGACTGAGAAGAAAAAAAACGCGCGCGCACACACATGGTACAGTACGATTGCAAAAGCACTCATGGCCATGCACGAGTCATGCGTCTCCACCCCACATTGCCCGGCCCTCTAACCCTAACGCTAACGCTAACGCCAAACGTCGCACACACCTTCGTCAGCGGCAAGACCTTCTTACGGGCTTGGGCCTTGGGAGTCAGCGGCTCGCCCTCCCCGACAACGATGGGGGCTCCGTCGGCGTCTACCGCCTCCCCCACGCTCATGAAAATCACTCCGCGTCGCCCCGCGTACTTGTCGCGGGCCTTGTAGAAGGTATCGTGGCTCGGCCCGTGGACGTTCATCACCAGGATGGTGATGGCGAGCCCGCCCTCTGGGGTACCGTTGGTCGAAGATTCCTGGATGGAGAGGAACAAGAAGAGGAGTCACCCCGAAATGATTCGTCTGAGGTGGATACAGATGTGGGAGAGGCTACAGCTCCGAAACGTTGCATCCGGTTTCTCTTACACCGTACTACTGTTTTGAGATGTATTCTCATGGTCCGGTCGGGATACGCCAGTCTCACTGGTGGCTGTCGCCCGTACGATCACGTCAGCTGGAACCTACCGCCAACAATCGAAGTTCGGTGCGTCTGCGGCCGACACGAAAGGCACCAGATTTCCAGGTGGTCTCTCGGTTCAAGGTGAGAGGGGGGGGGTGGGGGGGGGGTGTACTCATAGTCGTGCATGCCGTAGTCGTTTGACCATTGACCTCGCATCCCTACAAAGCCGGGACGGAGCACGCCGGGTTCTCACCGGACCAGGCTCTCACATCACCAAGCGCGAAGCGCCGTGAGGTATTTGGCGAGTCGCATGAAGGGTGAGCTGCATCCTGCTAAGGGTGTTCGGCATCTTGTGCTTACTTCCTTGCGTACGGATGACAGCTACGTATGACTTAATTTATTTTCTGGTGCTTTCACTTCCAGAGACAGTTGTAAGCACTGTGTAACTGCCTCGAGGAAGCTTGACCATTTTAACACAACGTGGTACGATCATCCCCCGTTGCGCGGAGTGAGGTTTCTCGACCCCGCACAACATGATCTACTCGACCACCATTATGGTTACCGCCAAAAAAAAAACCGAGGTAAAAAAAAAAAACGGTAACCTGGTTGCCGAGTTCACGAAGTGAATTGGCTTGTTTTACAACGTCGTTGCCAAGCGACGAAAACCCAATCCCGATTGCAAACACCGAGTGGGGGGCTTGTTTTACAACGTCGTTGCCAAGCGACGAAAACCCAACCCCGATGACAAACACCGGGGGGGGCGGTGAGAGGGGGACGGGTAATGACACCGCTGCTGTGTGAGCTGCTGCCGTCATTCTCCGTCTCCCTCTAACGTTGCACCATGAGACCACCGGGAAGATTCGTGCGTTTTCGTGTCTGCCGCAGACGCACCGAACGTCGAGACTGTTGGCGATAGGTTACAGCTGACGTTCTCCGGGCGGCAAGCCACCAGTGAGACTGGCGTATCCGGACCGGAGCCCGTACAAGAGGCGTACCATACACTCCTGCAGTGACATATAGCCGGGTCAGGGCGGTGGCGGTAGTGCTTCCGCCTCGTCGGGTGCAAGATGGTGTAGCACACACTCCCGATCGCGGCAGCTTCAGCGCTGTCGTCGCTACACACACGCCAAGGTCAGGCACTCAAGGAGTGACCTCACTTGAAGGGGGCTCCCCGAGTTCAAGCAAATGCTCGAGCAGCTTTCACAACGGACGACTACACCTCGCTGTCGCCCGCGTACCAGCCTGAACAATAACGTGTTGGCTACACGAATGCAAGGGTCGGTTTGAGGTGCGGTTACGGACGGTCGGGATTGCCGAGCATGCCCTCTGGGTCAGCTCTGACATCCTCGTGTAAGACCGTTAGCACTCCTCGTTGTCTACAATAGATGAAGCGTCACCGGGGTTAGCCACCTCGGGCGATGCTCTGGACATGTCCACTGCGCACGGTTCTTCGGTTGCCTGCGCCGATGGAACTCGAGACTGTCGGGAGAACCTAATTATCAATTTCTTAAGTCCGTTTTTCTTCCCAAGTAACTTATCTTCGTGTTGAAGCCGTCATTATACTGTACCAACCACAACCCCACCGTGGACAGCAGACGCGTCGTACTAGCACAACACCCACTAGTTTCAAAATACACCGACTATAATACCATCGGTCGGTACGAGCATTCGAAGTGGAGGGGGTGTCGACATCGACATCCCCTCCTTGAGGTTGGTGCCTGCCAATGTTTAGGGCTAACGCGACACGGCCACTCCCGCTGTGCCTCCTGCTGGTGGCGGTTCTTTGCTTGTTGCTATCGCTGATACTGGCCGCAATGAGACTGCCGTCCTTTCATTCGCCAACTGGTTAGCGCGGTCGATGCAGCCTAAAAAAGACACACAGCACGCAGCGAACAACCGATCGACTACAGCCAGTTTCGCACGTGTGCAGCCACAGCCCCCCAGGATCCCTTCGAGACAAATCTCGATTTCTTCAGACTCATACATTGTACCCGATTTCTTCGAGACTGACCATCCATCCTCACCTGCTTGTCCACCTGCGCCAGCACGGCCTGCAGCGTCTGCTCGAGGTAGTTCACCCCCTTCGGCCTCGGCACCGTCGGCACTCCCAGCACGACGGAGGCTTTTCGCCTCCCAGGCACCGCCGCCGCCGCCCCCGCCGGAGCAGCAGCGACAAAGTACTCGTCTCTCCAGCCGCCGCCGCCGCCGCCGCCGCCTGTCGCAGTATCGCCCCTTGCGAGCGTTGCTGCCGAACTATCTCTGTAGTCTCCGCCGCCGCCGCCGCCGCCTGCTGCCGCGGCTGCTCGTGCCGATGCGCTCGGTGACGGTATTCGGTCCTCGGCGGTTGATCCAGATGTCAATGGACCCGCCGGGGCATGACCGTTGATTTCTCCTCCTTGGTCTTCTCGAAAACCATCGTCCTTGGTGGGGGGGGACGGGGCACGTGGACGGGGGACGTGGACGCGGGGATACTCATGTTTAGCTTGCCTGGGTTCTTAGACCATTGACCACGCGTCCTCGAGAGGGGTGATGTCGCTTCGTAGGATGTTTGTTCTCGTGTTCGGTGGGTAATGCGTTGCACAACGCTCTGCGTGGTCCATACACGTTAACCGCACGCGGGGGCTGTGGCTCTCAGCGGGCAGTACAGGCAACAACTCTGACGAGATTAGGCTGCACTCTCATGCTGCCCCCGTACATGCTGGTTTGTGCCGCATCACGCCAAAGGATGACAGAAGACTCTACTCTAGAGGTGCTCAAACAGACAAGGACTTAACGTTTATGTTGCATGTCCTGACAGGGGTAGGCTGGCTGTATCGCGCCGGGGGGAACGCCAACAGCACAACGTTAACGTTGGCAACAAGCATGTTACGGCTGTTCCCATGATCGCACAGGCCTCCTCTCCGAATCCCGGCGGATGTGCGAAAAACTCCGCTTGTTTGAACGCGCAAACTCCGACTGCGGTAAGATATTTTTTCCGAACTCAAATGACACAAGCGTAGCGCAGACCATTGGATTCCAAGCGTTTTGAAGTCGCGGCGAGACGTAGGTCCACAGACGGTTTACGGTTTCAGCAGAACGCGTTGATATTATAGTTGGTGTGGAGAGGTGCAGTGCTTCGATTTGCCCGGTTCCTCCTGTACTGGTAGGTCTTGGCGAAGGCGTGCTTACTTGGTGTGCTCTTTGTGCATGGGCTAGGTGCTTAGGTGCTAGGGTTGTCTACTTGCCCAGGTTAGGACACACACGGCAGCGGTTCTGGCATCGAGGTCAACGGTTACGCCAAAGCGGTCAAAGTTCTGCTGCTCCCCTCGGGCATCAGAGGGAACGGGGAGAAGCGGTGCTTTGTCGCCTGTTGGTGGGTATCACCGACGTGGTACGTAAAAACAGTAGTCGAAAGATTGAGCTGTGATGCGGAGGTTGCGCTCTGCTCGGCAACAATAGGGGATAGAGTAGGGGCATCTCGCCGTCTTATGTATGTAGATAGAAGGCGAGGAGGCATTAGTTCTGCGTAGTCGCTTGGGTTGTTATTTATGTACTTGGCGTATCATACAACGTTGAACGTTGAACGTTGAACGTTGAACGTTGTGTTAGAGAGGTGTCCGGTCTGCTGCTCGAATGTTCATTTGCAAGTACAGCAGGCATCCTTTTCTTCCAAGTGCTAATATCCCATCGCTCATACAGCAGCACCTGGTGCAAACGTATGAACCAACGAACCAACATCCGAGAGATATACTCTTAGGGCTGCAGTGATAAGAACACCATGTACGTATGAATAGCCTGCAAACGAACGCACCGCGCAGACATTGAATTTTCCTAGAGCTTGACGAGGTCTAACGGATGAGGTACTGTTATCAGCTGTCAAAATACTCCGGAGTACTACCTGCCCTGTGGTAAATATAGCCGAGAAAGCAAGGGAGAACAAGTGGACAAGGAGTTCATCGGCATAGAAGCACATCGTGTCCGGTGTTGTCCAGGATGTGATGATGCATCCACACACACCATGAAGTACTGCTGTAGCCCTCCTGCCACATGATAATTTCTCGTCTGTACAAAATCACTCGGAATCGTTACGGAGTATTTTCTCTCTGGTGTGCGATCCCCTATGCATATGTATGATACATACTTCATGCAAAACGAACAAGACGTTGGCCAACACCTCCGCACGAACAGACAGTCCCCCATACCGGACGTCTACAAACAACGCGCGTGCATGCGTGTGCGTGTCATCACACATCACACGCACACGCCGAAACAGCCTTGACGAAAGAAATGATGTGTACTGCCTGTACTGCCTACCTTGTCATGGTGGTGGTACGCAGGCTGTACACCGGTGGTAATGGTCTCCGTCAATGCGGACATTTGTCCGTCGGTGAAGCGCCGTTTCGGTCCCCCCCTGCTCTGATGCTGCTGCTGCTGCTGCTGCTGCTGGGTGCCAGGTGCAGCTGCCTCTGGTTTCGTTGGCACAAGGGTGGCCCTCTCGAGGGAGAGCAGCTGCCGCACGACGAGGAACGTAGCCAGGACGGAGAAGGGAACACACTTCATGTTCCAGCCGCCGCCGACGATCGACGAAAAGCAGTTGTTCCTTCGGCTGCTGCCGCCGCCGCTGCCGCTGCTTGGAGCGGGAGCGCCAGGCAGCCTGCTGCCGGGGTCACCCTTGCTGGCACTGCTGCTGTTGCGTCCGCTGCGAGGGTGTCCACGCCTCAGGTGGTGCGAAGTCGACGGAGCCGTCGATCTGCGGACAGATGACCCATGATACGGCGGCCCTTCACCGCACCCGACCTCCTTGTCGGGCATTGGGAACATTTCAGTCACACATTGAGAAAAGCCTTTCGACTGCAGCCGTGCTCCTCTCTCTCTCTCTCTCTCTGTCTCTCTCTCTCTCTCTCTCTCCGCTGGTCACGATCGTCTCACACGCGGGGGTAGAACAGGGTGCCTTGTCCTCTTCCCCTTCTGGTCGCTGAACACAACCCAGACCTGTGGCACAGGGACATGAATGAAACGCCGCCCTGGGGCTCGGTGATGGCACGTACTTACATTGTGGCATTCTAGACTGCGGGGACCCATACTGAGGGAGCGGTGGCAAGCAGGCAGAGGCCACACATTGCAAAAAAAGCGCCTGCGGAAAAGAAGAGAGGGAAGCCTTGTGGGGCTGAGACAAGTCGAGCGCTCTCTAGAGGTGACGTCTCGGCTCGGCGTTGCGCCCAAATCTTGACGGGAAGGGAGAGACCTGCCAAGACTCTCTGCTCGCGGACGTAGCGGGTGTCCTCTAGCGGGGGAGACTGCTGTCGTTAGGAAGTCCCTTCGCTGCTGTTGCTGCTGCTGCTGCTGCTGCTGCTGTTGCTGTTGCTGCTGTGGCAACCCAAGGAGGGGGCTGGACATCGCGCGGGGGGGGGAAGCATGAACGGCAGCGGAGAGTTCGCCATCTTGGACAAGCAGATTGATGTTTTGCGAACGGGGGGCATCCTTCCCGAGAAGGATATTTTGAGTCTTTGCCAGAAGGTATGTACGGAGGGAGCGTTTTTCTGAAACCTATGTGTGTGAGACAGACGCGCGAGTTGAGAGAACAAGACGCTTGCTTGCTCGCTGGTTACGAGGACGGATCAGGGGGAGGGCGTGTTGCACTGTTTGTTGTGTGACGGCACTGCGAACATACCTACGCGCGAAGTCCCTTGCGCTCATCGCCACCCTCCCTGCATATCCTAAAGAGATGTGCACAGCAGTAGTATGCTTATAGGACAAAGCAAAATGAGCTCGGTGCGCAAAAAAGGCTGCTGCGAGATTACCACGCCCCCTCAGGCGCAACAACAAAAACAATGATGCTCCTGCCGCTTTTTCGGGAGTCCTTTGAGACACATCTTGCTCTCCGCTTGGTCTCTCTGCGTGTACATACCTCTCTTTTTCGCGACACCTGCCTCTGAAAATCGTACACAAAGAGCATGGATGTCGTCCAATTCCGCTCCTTTGTGCAGTTTCAAACAGGGTCCAAACAGCTCCCAGAAACTTGCAGAAATGGGTCTCTGCAATTCGTTCAGCGGAAAGAGCCCCTAATATAGGTACCTCGCTTTTGCTCGTGAACCGGAGCAGCAGCAGTAGGACCATGCGGGAGTCACAAACCTGATGCACGTGATGCGCACGTACTCTCCAAGCGATATGGCTCAAGAAGCACTGACCAGCAACGTACACGCTGCCCGCCAGTTCAGTGTATTGCTGCTGCCCCTTCAGTGAAAAAGTCAATCGGACGTCATATCTGAGTCCAAACGAAATTCTGGGCGGGTCTCTGATGGGTTAACTCTCTCCATCGTAGCTTCGAATTTTGGTCCGCTTAGACACCCCCACGTAATGCAACGTTTCACGATACAATAAATAGCACTCGGACGTCAAGTCACAGAGGCCGCCACACGTCGTAGCAGCAGGGCCATATTTTTTTTCCACTCTGATATGAGTTGGAATTGCCGATGCGGGTCGCGATTGCGTGATTCCGCAGGGCCCCTCGCGGGCGCGCCGTTCTCCGACAAACGGGCGTCGTTTGCCATGCAAGGCACTCACCCGCTGCAGGCACCCCTCCCCGGGCAAGAGAGATATATCACCATGAAAAATTCTCCCGGTGTATACCAGCGACTCTATGCCATGAGAAGATGCGACGACCCGAAGAGTGTCTTTCGTGCTCGTTACCGTAAGGTTGCGAGTTAGAGCACACGGGTGCGAACGATTGTCAAAGCGCAATTTCTCCACAACCAGGAGGTTAGAATACCACTGCTGTCGAAAAGGGCAGTTTTGGAAGTATCTCATCGAGAGCTTTCCTGAGAAGTATCAGTTGGCGCTCGCACCCTCATGGTTGTGGAGGAATTGCGCTTTGAAAATCGATCTCAACCCTGTGCGCTGACTCGCGACCTTACTGGTAATCAAGAAAAATGATGAAACTACCGAGGGAGGGTCATCGGGGAGAGACCGGAATAGACACCCCTTCCCCAGCCACGGTTTAGCAACAAAACTCAAAACGCCCTCACTAGAACATTCCACTGCTGTTTTCCTATAGTGCGGGCTGGCCAATGACCTGACGCTGGTCTTTGCTGGACACACACAAGTTGCATGCGTTCTTGTTGTTGGCGGAGCATATCCCTCATGGGCGCGGGGGGTAGGGAGGACTCCGTAGTGCATACTCCTGTGTATGAATCATACCCCTATGCATGACTCTGGAGATGGGACTGGGGACTGCTGTCGCTCCTCTTTCTCGGGGAGGGAGCGCGCCGGCAGAATTACAACGTCCGAGTTTTAGCAGGAAACGTGGCAGTTGCAGTAGGCTGTTGCCCTGTTCTTGACCTGTCCTGCAAGTATGTACCATGAACTTTCTTCTCTCAAGCACCATCATCCGGAGACAGCGCTCGTGTGCATTTGGTCTCTCTCTCTCTCGCTCTCGCTCTCACTCACTCCTCGTGCTCTTCTGTACTAGATGAAAGTCTTGCAAAGCGTTCACGACGTACCAGTGTCTCCGGCCCTCTCGCTCTCTCTGTTTGCCTCTCTCTCTCTCTCTCTCTCTCCTCTGGTGAAAGTGTTCGATGGTATTGACGATGTATCCTTATACCGTAACTTGAAAATAAGTGTGTCGATTCCACCGTGGGGAAAGCATGGTGACGTGCTTGAGACTGAAATTTCTCTCCGGAAAAAAGACCACGGCACGCTAATAAATAGATCGTGGGCACGCACGCGACCCCCACAATTGAAAATTGTGTCCTGTCTGACTCATTTGTGTCCTGCCCCCGCCCCCCTTCCTTCTTATTTTTTCTCCCCAGGCGAGGGAGATCTTAGGCTCGGAATCAAACGTACAGCCGGTGCGATGCCCGGTAACAATCTGCGGGGATATTCACGGACAGTTCTATGACTTGCTGTGAGTGGAGCTTTCGGTTTCCCCTCGCTCTCGCGGCGTGGAGGGATTGGAGTTGTTCGTGGCGCTGTTGGGGCGGGCGTTTAGCGTGGGTCAAAGTGCTCGTGTGTGTTTTTTCGGCGGCGGCGGCGGCGGCTAAACCTAGCTCTCTGTTTTTCGCATTCGTGTTCTGCGGGTTTGATTTGTTTCTGCTGTTGTTCACGTTGCTTGTGTGTGCTGTGTGTTTGTTTACGTCGACCAGACGGGAAATCAGTCTCATGGTGCGTGCATTATTTTCTTTTTCGCTTGGCAGGGAGCTTTTTCGGATCGGGGGTGACTGCCCTTCGACGAACTACCTCTTCATGGGCGACTACGTGGACAGGGGTTACTATTCGCTAGAGGTCGTCAGTCTTCTCGTTGCCCTCAAGGTGCGTTATTGTGTGTGTTTGACAAAACGGCGAGTCGAAAACTAGCATGACTTAACGATCACGTCCTGGCTCCAAGTCGCTCGATTGGCTCCCTCCGTTCCCTCCAAACTAGGTCCGGTTCAAAGACAGCAATTCCACGTTGTCGTGTGTGTCTGCGTTGCGTGTAGATTAAATGTCGCCCCCCCAAACCATCTGCGATGATTTAACCAATCACTGTGCTGGCAGAAAAGACTCCACCACATCCCGTTCGACTGTGGGTATATCTCGAATGGGTAGTCTTTCTGTGTGTGTACTTATTTTTCCTTAAATCGCTTGGTTGGCCCCCAAAAATAGGTCCGGTTCAAGGACCGCATCACCATCCTGCGGGGCAACCACGAGTCCCGCCAGATCACGCAGGTCTACGGGTTCTATGATGAATGCCTCCGCAAGTACGGCAATGCCTCGGTGTGGAATTGCTTCACCGAGCTCTTCGACTACTTGCCCATGACAGCCCTGGTCGAAGACAAGGTAAGTTCTTCCGGTCTTCCCTCCCTCCCTCCCTCCCCGGTGGCGGGCCACGGATGAGAGAGGTGTGGGGTAATGAGCCCCCGTTAGGGTGCATACCGTGTAGGACACAAGATTGATTACACACCCCCTGGACCGATTTTCGAAGCTCGATTACGCCACGACCGAGAGGATGCATAAAGGAATCGATACAATTTCGGAATGCTCTCGACGGGATGGCTTCGACGCCACCGTTTTCGGCGCTGTGACTCTTTTTGCTGCTGTTGAGAAATCGAGCTTCGAAAATCCGTCCGGGGGGTGTGTTATCTTGTGTCGTGTGCAGTAATTTGTGGGCTTCTTCCAAGAGCGACCTTCTGCCAATGTCGGGTTTTTTGGGTGGTCAAGAATGGTCTACGGTTAGGATGTGTTGTTGCTTGTAGGCCTCGTTGTTTCTGTCGTGCCATCATATTTTTGCATGTCCTTGTCTACCCATCGTTTTCTCAACTTGCAGCGTACGTTTCGTAGGCACGCAAGGTAAGACCGGTCTCCCCACCCACCCCTAGTTACGCCTGATACCAACGCCGGAACCCTTGATTTTCATTGGTTCTGTTTATGGTGATGTTGCAGTACTAGTTGTTGTATTCGGCCGGTGAAATGGCGTGATACAGATGGAATTTTCCAAGTTGTTGGCGCTGGGTGCCCGACGTAAAATGGCCGGCCAAATCCCTGTGTCACTATGCGGCCTTGTACTGGGTGCAGGGACGATTTACCATACACTTCCTTCAGAATGTCCCTGGTTGTTGACGGTGTTTGTTTTTCATCGTTGTTGATATTCTCGCAGATCTTCTGTCTCCATGGAGGCCTTTCGCCATCCATAGACACGCTGGACCACGCCCGGGCCTTGGACAGGATACAGGAGGTGCGTTGGGGGCGTGATGGTGGATGCTCCACAGCGGTATCGATGCGCAATCCTAGTGTGTAAGGGTAAACAACTCCTTGATTGGTGTAGCGATATGTAGCAGGCGATGGCGGTGAGCATGAAGGGTGATGCGACCATTGCGTGATTTGACGTGACCCCCCAACCAACCAACCAACCCTGACTTGCTGCGTGCAGGTGCCCCACGAGGGCCCTATGTGCGACCTGGTTTGGTCGGACCCGGACGACCGGTGCGGTTGGGGCATCTCTCCCAGAGGGGCGGGGTACACATTTGGGCAGGTGCGTTCTCGCACGAGGGAAATGACGAGTCCGTAGATGCCGTAGATGTCTCGACACTTGAAAATATTGTGGTTCAGGGGAATGTTCCCCAGGGGGGCGGAGACACTTTCAAGCAGATAAACTTTCCTTGTCGCGGGGGGGACGCTCAGTCCTTAGATGTCGGCACTTGAAAATACATTGGTCTAGGAGAACGTCCCCCATGCGGGTGGGGTACACGTTCGGGCAGGTAGGTTCGCGCGCGAGAGTCAGGTGCTTGGTCCGTAGATGTCGTAGATGTCGACACTTGGGAATGACTTGATGACGTGGTTTTGGAGCACGTGAGTTTTTTTTTTTGTCTTATGTCTTGACTTTATAACACAACCGCCGGCCCACCTCACTGACACACAATCGCAGGGGTTGTTTGAGGTAGCAGTCGGATTTTCGAGTGTCGCCGAGTAGGCGCCGCCGGATGTCGTAGATGTCTCGACACTTGAAAATAGAATAGTTGGGGGGAATGATCCCCAGGGGGACGGAGTACCCTTTCGGGCATATAAACTTTCCTTGTAGCGAGAGAGACGCTCTGTCTGTAGATGTCGTAGATGTCGACACTTGGGAATGACATTGTGACATGGTTTTGGAGCACAACTCATGTGTTTTTCTGTTTACGTCTTCTGTTTTGACGTTAAAACACAACCGCCGGCCCACCTCACTGACACACAATTGCAAGGGTTGTTTGAGTAGCAACCGGAGTTTCGAATGTGGCAGAGTATGCGCTGGCTGTACCTTGACCCTTAGGAACACAACATTGTTTTTTCGAAGTCGTAGATACCACGCTTTTTTCGTCATCGGCTTGACGTTCGCAGTCGAAGTTTTTATTTTTTGTTGTAGTCCAATCGGCAGGTACGATCGCCGTCGCCTGTCTATGCGTGTTTCTTAATCGCCGTCCCCGTTCTATCTACATTTTAGGACATCACGGAGCAATTCAACCACACCAATGGCTTGATGTTCATCGCGCGAGCTCACCAGCTGGTGATGGAGGGCTACCAATGGACTCACAATCAGGTATGTATGGGACACTACACCACACGTTGCGCCCGTCATTGAAGCCGACGTACCTCTTTTGTTGCATTTCTGGGAGAGCCGGGGGGGGGAGTTATCGTTCCATATATGCAAATGTGCTGCCGTTTGGGGTCCCCGTTGTTTGGCAGTGAGTAGGTTTAGCCGGCGATGGTTCTGGAGGCAGGCTAGGGATGCCGGGGAAACTGTTCATTTTCTCGATGCTCTCGAAGTGTGTCTTTTATTTTCCCGCGTACCCCCCCCCCCCTTTGCTCCCCAAAGGGGGAGGGGAAAAAAACGGAAACCGGGGCAACACAAATCACACCCCCGGTCTACACCTTCCCGATCAGTCTAAACACCAGCCACCCAACAGGCAGGAAGGTAAAATTCTGTTTGCCCCCAACACAGAAGCTATTTAGTGTGTCATACTGCCCCCCCCCCCCCCCCACTCCGGCAGGCCTACTATGCACCAGAATATACGTAAAGCCCGCTGTAGAGTTCACGCCGCCCCTTGTTTCTCGACGCGTACTTACGCCCCGGAAACCAAACACTTGACGCGCCGACCACTTGCTGTCTCGCCGGTGTCCAACGCGGACCACTCCATCTGGTACCCTGCCCCGGCTTCATCGTCACGCTCTCAGCATTCGCCCCAACACTTCCGACACCCACGACGCGTCACTCGCCACGTTCCGAACATGACACTGGTCTCCTCCGACCATCGCCCCTCCCTACGGAGAACCTCCGGTGACGCACCCCCCGCCGCCAAGTAGGTTGCGCCCCCAATCCGAAGGTCGTGCAGCGCGTACTCGAAGGGCTGCAAACCCGCCAAGTGCGCCACGTTCGCCTGATCCTTGAACCCACTTGGCCCACAGGCCCTAACCGACACCGAAAGCAACCAAAGGTGCATACGAAGCCAAAATAGGTAATAAAGGGAAAGCAGCTCGACCATCACATCCACTGCACCGCCCCCGACAACACCGGCCGTGGCGGGTCTGCGTGCACGTACCACCATTCCGAAACTGATCCCCTTTCGCAGAGCGAAAACGCGCCTCCACCCGATCCGCCAACGGCCACTGCGCCGACTGAAGCAACTGTTCCGCTCCCCGAATAAGCGCTCCGTCCCCCCCGACGCAAACCATGAACCTCATGCGTCGACAATTTTGGGCTCCGCAAACAATTCTCGGCTGCTCGCGTCGAAAAGAATATTCAAGCACGTGAGCTCAAGAAAAAAAGTATGTCCGCTTACCCCCCCCCATTGCGGGACCAAACGAACTCCCTGTTGCAACACCGCCCCCAAGACACCGCCCCGCCGCGACCGCTGCTGAGTGCCCACATCATCAGCCGCTGAGGCCGAGGTCCCACCGCCACCTGACGCGCGAGGCACCGCCGCCGCCGCCACTGCCTCGCACATGGCGGAACTTGCAGAACAGCGACCCTTTGCACGTTCCATGGTAACGAAAAGTTCTGACTCGTGCATCCTGCGGTGCCCCCCCCCCCCCCCCCCCCCCCGCCTGTGTTTTTTTCCCCCCCTGAACCCCCCCCAC